GATATAGCCTCCTTAGAAAAACACTCATATCTTTCACATGAGGTGGAATATAATTATCAACTTGGCGTATTTTGTTGGGCATGAATAAAACTGTGGTCATTATCCCTTCAAAAGAGATAAAAAAATCTGGTAAACGGTTAGGTATTTCAGAAACTGGTAAGCTATCAACTGACACCCCACTGGGATGTAGGTCAAACCACTGGCAGTGGGCAATACCATATGTACGGTGTGGCCTGGTGTGGCCAGAGGTTGAATAGAAGATCATTCACAGTTTTCTAAGCTTATAAGGAGCAAAGATGTTGTATTTTTTGTTGCGGAGTATAATTTTGGAATACTAAAGGGTTAAGTCAATGTACTATGTAAAGAAAAGAATGAAAAATATACTTTTTGTATTGTCAAAAAACTACATAGAGTGGCTTTAACGTAATTCGTAATATTGGCGGCGAAAATTTTGCATAATCCGTAATCACTATCCCCCATGCAGGCCCTCTTCACTATACTTCTTGTGTCTTGTTTTTGTTTTTGGCCCGCGGGCGCCCGCGCTAATTAATGTCCTTATTACAATGTATTACAGCACCCACATATCCCTACGTGCACAAACAATGGTCTATAGGAGGAACTCTGACTATCCACTTCTTACCTGATGATATTTCCTGCTATTTGACGCACAATATACTGCCAGTCACTGGCGAGAACCTGACGCTGGCAGCAGAAGTCGTCTGCAGACAACCGAACGTAAAAATGATCACGTGAGGCCTATGACCAATCAGCGTCAGCGGAAGAAATTCGCGGGAGATTCGAAAAGCGTTCTATGATTGGTCTGCGTCAGGTTGATGCTTTTATGCCCATATTTGGGCATGCCTCTGAATTCCTTTCTTATTACGTCACGCGCGTACGCCCTCACAGTACTTTCCTATGGGGACCACTAAAAAGCAAATAAAACGATTGTAAAAGCTTGTATCAAAAAAATTTAAAAAACGCCTAAGGGTATTTACCCACTCTACCTCTATACGAAATTTCAGGTAATTTCGCCCAAAAATGAAGGAGTTGAATCAATTTAAAGAAGTGGCAGGAGAAGAAGAAGGAGAAGGAGAAGGAGAAGAAACATCAGAAAAAGCAGTATTTCACTCCATACTGAAGTATGGAGTGAAATAATAAACTTATAGATAAAATCCTGCTTAGGATTTGAATCATAATGAAAGAAAAAAATTAAAAGGGTTTACTATTTCCTTGTAGCATGTTTTTTTACCTTGACAATCTTCTTTGTAAGGCCTGTACGCTGCACTACTTCCTCCAGCAGCTCCTTCCCCAGGGTACTCTTTGTGGTCTGCATCCCCCTCTCTCAGTACTCCTCCAGTGTGGGCTTGTAGGGTGTCAGGTCCATTCTGGCACTGGGGGGGGGGGGGGAGAAATATGTACTTATTTAGAATAACAATATCTGTCGCACATGATTAGTTTATATGTAAGCAGTGTACATACTAATATGTGTCTATTAGTAACTGTAAGTGCAGCGCCACGGCCTTCCTGTTTTACTGATTGTTTCCGTGGCCCTGCTTCAGCCGGCAGATAGAGAAGGAAGTTATAACTCAGACAATATCAGACTGGCCTACCTTGTGGATGCTGTTTTAATCAGTAGGGTTAGTGGTGATACAAACGAAGCCGCCTCATCAAGATTCTGCTACACTGTCCTGAATAATTGTTCCCTCTGAAAGTCCTGAATGTGCGATGATCTTGAATGTGTCCTTGATTGTATCCCGTGTGCTTTCGTTCCCTAATCCAACTGCTCCCACATATCCACTGGTACCGATGTTGAGGTCCGAGATGTAGGTCAAAGATGTTTTCTTGTCGGAATGTCCGTATGTCCGAAATTGTCCGAAATTGTCAGGTAAAAAACTGGTTTGTCCTCTATCCGCTGACTGCCTTCAGTCCTCTTGAGTGTTCCTTATACACTGCCTCTTCTCGTGCCCTGCGCACTGTGTTTCTGCTTGTGCCTTGTGCACTCACAGCCTCTATCCTTCCTCTCTCTGCTTGTGCCTTGTGCACTCGCAGCCTTTTCCACTCTGTCTCTCTGCCCCAGCCGGACGGGGCTCCCCTCTCTGGAGTTCAGGGGGGTAGGGATTTTGGCGGGAATCTAATCTATCACATATGTACTAGGCTAGAGGCGGCAAATTCGAAATTGGAAGTTGGCATTTACAGTAACTACTTAGTAATATGGGCCTACTCTAAGTTTTCTTGAAAGTAGTTAAAAGTGTATGTAAATGATATAGTTAATGATAGACTGCCAAATTTATGTAAAAGGTCTCCAAAAAGAATAGTGATGTATTGTCACTAATGGTAGCTTCATAAATAAACAAACTCACTATGGATTCTGGCAAAAGAATATCTGGTCACTAACGTTACCAGTTACCAAATGTGATAATTTGAGTCTTCATGACTAAGCAGTGTAATGCTGAATTATGTTGATAATCTGATAATAACAAAATAAGATTCTTAGCAGATGATTTTGGGATATACCATATCCACTGGAAAAGATCTATTATACATGCTAATTTTTTGGTGTGTTACAGTGTTATGTTTACTCCAAATTCTTGCCTGCGAACAGATAGACAAACAATGAAGTGTGTAAAAATATACGGTTATGTTATATCATGTGAGTATTCTACTGTAGTACAAGACACTGGTTGTTTAAAAGTCAGAACGTTTTGGGTTGGATTTCTTTTTTTGAAACACCATTTTCTAACACTTGTGGGTTCTGTGACATTTTCTTTTATTGATTTTAAGAAAATATGGCTTTTCAATATCCTCTTCCCTGTTCTTGAAGGGAGAGTTTGAGGTAAAATGCTCAGTACTAGTCACATGTCACATTTTCTCTTTCAACACCTTTCAATGGGTAATTAATAAGCACAAAATATGTATAAAATTCTATTTTCATAATAGTGAAAAATAACAATACTGTCCATGGTCATAAGTCATACAAGCACAAGTCGCCATGGTAGGTGGTGTGACAAGTTACCAGTTCCCAAAACAAACATAATTAACATAAGAAAGTGAATGCCTCTGACTAGTAGTATGAAAGGTGTTAAAGAGCAAGCTCGCAGAAAAGGAACACGCGCTATACAGTTTCAAACTTGAATAAATCAAAACAAATGGGTTTTGGAATCCGAACGTTGTGCGCTATATTGACCCTACAGTGTCGACTATAAAATTAGTTACAGGCAGGCTGCGGGAGGCGGCTGCAAAGAGACTGGAAAGTGGCCAAATAGACAGTTGCCAGGACCATGAGAAGGTTTTACCGCCACCGTGTGGGTCGCGTACCCTCTCTGGCGGGCTACCCCCGCCCCGGTATACCAATATCCCTCTAAGGCAAACTTTAAACAATGCAGGGCCCCTAAAACCTTTTCATATACATCCACGGCATAATGTTCAAATTAGTCAGAAAATGATACGGGGAAATGCGCTACAAAAGTGAATAGTAGTCAGAACA